TAAGAACTTGTACAAATCTCTCTGAAATAGCAATGTATAAGCCATAATCAAATTGCATGGGTTCAATAACTTTTTGCAGCCTTAGGCACAGATTAACATGGACAGATGGAGTGCAGTGGGACTGGCAATATAAAGAAAACTGCATGCTAAATGCAACTTACAAGGATTGTAATGATGAAATGTTGTGTTAAAAATCTAGAAAACTTCTGGAATAAATTAAATGGCACTTCAAAGCCTAGCCATGTATGGCAAGACTGAAGCACCTGCGATAAGAGGTGACAACTACAAACAAATAGAAAGAAATGTGTATGTGCAGGCACTTACATTCAACCAAGTGTCAGTGTAGACCAACACCCAGCCTCTTTAATGGCCACTGAATGGAAATGGTTAAGAGGGTGGCTGCCCTCTGGTTCATAGGTCCACACTGCAGCATCCTTTGTAATATGGGGATAGGCTTGAAGCTTCAGCTAACTCATACTGGCACTGCTAGAGCCAACTCAATTCTTCATGTTTGTATCACCAATTCATGACTCTCCATCTGGCTGTTTGTCAACCAAGTGAAAATAATACCCAAAGTCAGAGGCTATGTTGCGAACAAATTGGTAGCTGTGACCAATCAGTCTCTGACGTCAACCTGCCATGTCTTATTTTGTGCTAAACTGTGTAAAACATCTCATGCATACTTCTTGCTGGAGTTACCTACACCTTAATTTCACAAGACAGGTGTTGTCCTAATGGAGGTCTACTTATCTAGAAAGATCAACTTGGTTAATAGAATAGCGGGCCAGATTTTATGATGCCAGCATTTGTCATTAGTTAGATTTGCCCCAGCATCCTTCAGATCAAAGCAATTTTTTACCCATAGATTTTCCAAAAGTGCAAGCAGATAACGGCAGAACAAAGGAAACCAGAATATCGAGGGCTTGGAGGTACAGAGCAACTGAAAAGGCATCTGCTCCATAAAAGAAATTGAAATATTGGAAACTAACTGTCGAAGAAAAAAGGGTGAATTAGCTTGGGTGAATTCAATGTTGAATCAGGTCAGGAAAAGAAATAAAGGAAACAAATTGAACCTAAAGGGATAGAAAAGTGAGACAAAAGGAAAGTAAGAACAAAAAGGACACTTTGAAATGTTCCTGAAAAACAAGGAATGAGACTCCATGCTTTAAAATTATTTTTTGGGACTAAAGTGGTTGATAGGCAGTCATGAGCAAACACTGCATTGCTAAAAGGGTACTTCTGGTCCTAATGATTAGGCTTACTTGTGAGATGTTTAGTTCAAATCTATTCTAGAAATACAACAATTTCATATGATTTAGTGCTTTTCAGTGACTGTGTGAATGGTGAAATGGCATTTTTCATACCTTATGGTTGATCAACACAACTCAGACAGGAGTCTTTTATTGTTACAGAAAAGGATGTATCTGATCTCCTCTCAAGTTGCTGTATAGTTCATGCATGAGGGCCATTCGTTTCACTATTATATTCATAGCAAATTCTGATCCAATATGTCAGGAGCAATGATTAGGTGTGGAATGATAAATGTGAAATAGAAATTATTTACCAAGAATTTTCCAAATAGAAATGGTAGATTTGTCAGGTACCACTTTTAAGAGAGAATAAAGATGTTTTAGAGGCTAGTGCAAAATAGGTGGTAGAGATTTAATAGTCTGCTTTGTATTGCCCTGGTTTCTTTTAAAAGTAAATCAAACAAAGTGTAAAAATAAAACAAAGAACCACAGATGCTGGAGATCAGAAATGAACAAAATCAAAAATTGCTGGAAAAACTCAGCAGGTCTGGCAGCATCAGTGGACGGAATACAAAGTTAAATATTTCAACCTCAGTGACCTTTCTTCGGAACAAGCAGAGTGCAAAACTAGCCACTCATTTGTTGTTATAAATGTAATATCTGTATCATAATTGACAGAAAGGTCATCAACCTGAAATATTCACTTTCCACAAATACTCCCGATTGCTGAGAATTTCTCGTATTTGGTTTCTTTTTTAATTTCACTTCACAGACTTCTGTTTCATGGAAATGAACATAATTAATTTATACCACAAAGCTTGCATTTCCGATCATATACAGAAATTTTTTTGATGGGCATGTCACTGGGGTTGTAATATATTTTACTTTCTGCATAGAAAAAGAAAATCACCCATTTCCAGTGATTTTCATCTCACTCTATGATGGATTATTCTAGGCTACACCTTACATTGAACAAACTTTGAATTAGGACCTTTCATGACAACTGGCTATTCCAAGATACTTTCTGGCCAATGACATACAATTCAAGTGTAGTCACTGTTGTAATGTGGCAGTTAATTTGTGCCCAGTAAACTCCCACAAACAGCAATGTGATAAGGAACAACTCTGCTGCTTTATTATTGTTCGTGGCTAAGACACCAAGGATAATGCCCTTGATCTTCTCTAAATAATGCCATGTCATCTTTGACATTCACCTGAGAGGTCAGATGCAAGTTTTGGTTAAGCATTTCATCTAAAAAGTGGCATGACTGACAGTGCAGTGTCCTCACTGTATTTCAGCCTCAAGTTTTGTATGGCTGAAGGAAGCCTTCAATTTAGATTCAGAGTCTAAAGATGTGCAGGACGGAAACAAACCCTTCAGACCGAGACATTCATACTGACCTATCCTAAATTAATCTAGTCCCATATGCCAGCATTTGGCACACCTCCCTCTAAACCCTTTCTCTTCATAAATCCATCCAGATGCCATTTAATTATTGTAATTGCACCAGCCTCCACCAATTCCTCTGGCAGTTCATTCCATACATGCAGGTCCCTTTTAAATCTTTTCCCTCTCACCTTAAACCTCTAGTTTTGAACTCCCCTACCCTGGGAGAAAGATTGTGGCTATTCACCCTATCCACGCCCCTCATTATTTTATAACCTCGATAAGGTTACCCCTCAGCCTCTGACGCTCTAGGGAACATAGCTCCAGCCAATTCAACCTCTCTCTATAGTTCAAACCCTCCAACCCTGGCAACATCCCCGTAAATCTTTTCTGAACCCTTTCAAGTTTCACAACATTTTTCACAACATAGCAGGGAGACCAGAATTGAATGCAGTAGTCCAGAAGTGGCATAACTAATGTCCTGTATGGTTGTAACATGACCTCCCAACTCCTATATTCAATACACGGACCAAGCATACCAAATGCCTTCTTCACTACGCAGTCTACCTGCGACTCCACTTTCAATGAACAATGAATCTGCACTCCAAGGTCTCTATATTCGGCAACATTTCCAAGGAGCTTACCATTAAGTGTATAAGTCTTGCCCTGATTTGCCCTACCAAAATGTAGCACCACACATTTATCTATCTATCTATCCATCTGCCACATATCGGTCCATTGGCCATCAGATCAAGGTCCCGTTGTACTCTAAGCTTACCTTCTTCAGTATCCAATGCACCACTAATTTTAGTGTCATCTACAAATTTATTAACTATACCTTCTATACTTCTGGAATTATTCTTACTAAGATACAGATGATGCGTATCTTTACCTGCTGTGGCAATGCTTATTCCTTGGAAAATGAGAAACTAGGATGTTGGTAAAGTGCTATTGAAAGATCCAACCAACATTTATTTCAGCTCACTGATATATGTAAAAATTAGATTTCCAGGCGCATCTGTGTGCGGGCCAACATCAAGCTATACCCTCAGGTCATGTGCTACAATACAGTGATGATAATATCTCTTAACAGAATACTGATATACTAACTGTTGGAGAATATTGGACAAGAGAAAGCTTCTGTCTTAGACAAAATATCATTGCTGATCCGAATCTACAAGTACTGCCCCTGCACTTGGCCCAGTCATTTTTGCAGGAGAGGGGATGAGTCCCATTACACCCTATTCCTGGATCAAGGGTTGAAACATCCAGGGCACTGGATATCAGGTTTGTGGAGCTGGGATTGAAAGTTCAGGCTTCAATTTAAATTGATGCTTAAAGAAGTGGGACTTGAACCAACAACATTGACTCAGAGGTGATAGTGCTCCTTATTGAGGTCTGGCTGACACAAGCGAAACCAATTTGTTCCACATGCAGGTGGTTTTTCTGGATGAAAATGAAAAATAATCACAGCCAAATTAACTTGCTGTTGCTAATTTGATTGCCAAGAATCCTTCGGCACTATCATCTTCAGGGATCTCACAGGTCACTCCTTTGTGAATCAACCTTGACTAGCAGATTTCCTCATTATGCTTCCTTAACTTGTAAATGGACTTCTTCTGAGTAGAAGATTATGATTAGAGATGGCTGCTCACGATAAACCAAGTGAGTTAATCCTATCATTTTTGAAATTGATACTATGGATTACAGGATTATATTGTGGGACACTATCTGTTTCAAAGTCTGTAGGAGTAGTTGACAGAGCAGATCACACAAATTCCCATTGAAGAGATGTATTATTATCACTGTCAGTTCTTCTGCTCTTTGCAATCTATCACATTCCATTTAAGTAAACACTATTGAGGCATTTTTTTTCCCCCTACTTTGAGTTCTTGGCTGGGAGCAGTGCTTTTTGAGAGCACAGATCAACGGTTTGGGCATACATTGTGAGTGATTTTTCTAACCATTTAAAACTAATGGTTGGAGCATCATTTGTGCATGTCTGATATTTCTGACAAATTCCTGGTGATCAAGGATCCCTGTCAGAATAAGAAGTCAGAATATAACCTATTCTGGCCTCAAATTCCTAGAGTTTCTTGTGATTTGCTGTTGTGTTTTTAGCAGGCGATTGGTACGACGGAATAGCATTCAGGGCTGAAATAGATGGTGTGATATTTCCTTCTGCTGAACTTAAGTTGGAAGAATTGAAAACTACTATGGAATTTAAGATCCAATGAAATTATCTCCTGGAGAAAAAAAAAATCTTCATGACAGCTGGCATTGATAAGTCTGTTTCAAAATGTAACATTAGGTAAATTATCCAGAATGATGAAATTTCTTAGTTGAGAAGAAAGAAATTTTACCTATTCTTTGGAGACCGAACTGTCCAAAGTCTTTGCCTTGTACAAATCCTTGGTACACGAATGTGCTGCCTGAAGCCTCTGCTGAAACCTGTGAGATAATCAATGAGGTCAACAATCTTGCAAATATCCACTATACACAGGATAACTGGGATAATTGCTGTGAATTCATTTTCGGCAATCAGTCCTCACTGGAGTAGGATTTCCATTTGTCCATCATTTGCACCCCTAATCCAGGCCCACTTTCTAGGGTTCCAAACATTTGTCCATTTCAGGCAATGCCCATGTCACAAATGATGTAACTAAAAGACTCAAATCAGGTCGAGGGCTTGGAAAATTGCTGTGTTGGCCTTTGGCCAATGATAAATAGGTCAATGGCATCATTCAGTGAATCAAAATTAATTCTTTCATGCATGTCAACTGAAAAGACCATTTATATTCTTGCAGATTATGAATTTCACCATATGTACAGTTTGAGGTTTTTTTTGTTTGGTCCTGGGATGTGACTGTCACTGATTGGGTCTGCATTTGTTGCCCATCCTTAATTGCCACTTGATCTGAGTGGCTTGCTCGGGCAGTTTTCAGATGACAGCTATGAATCAGCCACATTGCTATGGGTCTGCAATCAATGTCAATGGATGAACCTAAAATATGTTCATTCCTGGACCATATGTACATGTGGGATAAGTATTCTATGGAGTACTTAGGACTAACTAGGAATGGCTGAGAAATGTTGGTCTTTCTTGCAATGATTAGTCATAAAAACAGTAATAAAAATAACCCCCTCAAACCATTAATGAGTCTCAATGGTAGTAAGCATTAAACTGAGAACAGCCTCTGTCCCAAGAACAGTTAATTATATTTCTAGTCCTGACTGTTTCTCTATGATTCCATTAGGTTGTGCTGTTTCCCGGAGATCAACCGAACGAGTGCAAAAAATATACTCATTCGAAGTACATTTTATGTCCCACACAAATCAAAATTCCGTTGTGTTGATTTAAAAGGTATTGCACTGGAAGCTACAATATTCCTGGAATTGTTGTTATGCTAATATAGAGCATCAATAGAGTCTACTGAGGTAACTTTATTTGAAAACACGTTCATACTGTGGGTTATATCTTCTCATGAGGTTGTATGAGCAGGGTGATATCATGTGACATCACATCACTTCTTGTTATGGTGTGGAAAGTCTGATTAACATATTGCACAACTCGAATTAACCCCTTATGCTATAGAAGCTGACTATTCCCACAAAGCTGAATGCATCTTTAGATCAATCAATCAGTATGGTATGTTTTGCTAATTGTGTCCATTTACTAGCCTTTAAGAGCATACTTATACTTAAACATTTGTTGTAGGCATGTGTACATGAACAGGTATATTTAAAGCTTTTTTATAGAATGTAATTTTCATGAATCACACTAGCGTGATGGTGCAGGAGGAGGCCATTCAGCCTGTTGTGCCTGCACTAGCTCTTCAAACAAGTATCATTACCTAGTGCCAAACTCCTGCTTTCTCCTCTATACCCTTGCACCATATTTCTATCCAAACAATCATCCAATGATCTTTTGAATGCTTCAATTAAACCTGCTTCCACCATATTGCACAACCTAACTACTTGCTGTGCGAAAATACTTTTTTTCCTCACATTGATTTTTTTTTGCACATCATTTTAAATCTACGCGTTCTTGTTCTTGTTCCCTTATGAGCAGGAACAGCTTCTCCCTGTCTTCTCTATTGAGCCTACTCGTGATTTTAAAAAGACCTCTATCAAATCTACTCTCAGCTTCCTGCTCTTTCAAGGAGCACAGTACCAACTTGTTGAATCTATTGTCGTAACTGAAGCTTCTCATTCCTGGAACCATTCCTCTACGGTGTCTCCAGTGCATTCACATCTTTCTCATAATGTGGACACCTTAAAAATGCACACAATACTCCAGCTGCGGTCTAACAAATTTCTTACACAAATTCAACATCAACTCCTAGATCTTGTATTCTATGCATCTATTAATAAAGCTGAGGGCACTGTATATTTTATTATCTATTCTCTCCACCTGTCCTGGCATGTTCAATGATCTGTGTGCATTTATCCCCAGGTCCTACTGTCCCTGCACCCCCTTTAGAATTGTACCACATTTTTACATTGCCTTTCAATGCTCTTCCTTCCAAAGTACATCACCTCACAATTCTCTGTGTTGTAGCTCATCTGCTAACTGTCTGCCCACTCCACCAACTTGTCCATATCTTTCTAGAGTTCTACATTAATCTCCTCACAGTTTAGAATTCTTTGAAGTTTCATGTCATTTGCAAACTTTATAATTGTCCCTAGCACATGAAGATCCAGATATTTAATATTAATCATGAAAAGCTCCAACACAGCCATTGGGGAGCTCTACTACAAACCTTCCTCCAGCCTGAAAAATATTCATTGACCATTACACTGTTTCCTATCACTTAGACAATTTTGCATCTATATTGCTCCTGTTCCTTTTACACTGTGATCAGTAACTTTCCTCTCAGGTTTGTTGTGTGGGACTGTATCAAACACCTTCTGGAAATCCATGCATACCACATCGACATGATTACCCTCAGCGAGCCTTTCTGTTACCTCTTCAAAAAAAAAGTCCAACAAGTCATTTAAACAAAATTACCCCTTTAGAAATCCATACTGACCTTACTTAACTATACCAGGCCTATAGAATCACAGGTGAGCAGCACAAAGCCTGAAGTAAAGCCCAGTGACAGTGCAGTGTTAGAGGGAAACCATGAGACCAGCCCAGCAATCCAGAAGAGGGGAAATACCTGAAGAGGAGCTCAGTTGTGACAAGGAGCAGTAAGTAACAAGTCCTCCCTAGACACCAAACGGAAGTAAGGGAAGCTCATAAAAGGTGTGAGGATACGCACAGTTTAGAATGTGGCTGAACAAAAGAAACAGTCAGTCAGTCAGCCGCAGTGCGTAAAAACATTCCAGTAAATCAAAGGTATTTATGGAAATAGGAAAGAAGTGGGCACTCAAAATCTTCATCTGTAGCAAGTGTATAAAGAAATTGGGCGCAGTTGATGCTATTAAGGAACCCCACTGGTAGCTTCTCAATAGGGGCTTGTAAGTGCAAAGAAAGAGATCATGTTACAGCTGTAGCAGCAGCATAGAAAATTAAACACAGACGCAGCAATGTGCAGGTGTCCGAGCAACAGAGAACACAGAGGGGTGCAAGATGAATTCTGAAATGTGGGTATTATGGATAATTACAAGAAAATTGATTTTAAATTGGATAAAAGGAAGCATGTGTTCTGACTCGTGGAGGTCTATAATATGGTTAAGGAGAAAAAGACTTAGACCATCCCCCATTCAGCTTTGGGGTTGAATTAAAGGGAAGATGTGTGCTACACTTTACTGCAATGGAGGAAATCACAGAAGCTAAGTATGTTATTCCTAAGTAGAACACTTCTTCGATAAACAAAGTTGTGTGCGTCTTTAAATATCCTTCCATTAGCAGATGTCATAGTGATGCCAAACTACATGTTAACAGAACTTGAGTCTGTAAGTTTTCTGCAGAATCTCCTATATTTAATATGGCCTGTTAACATTCTCTCCCGTGACTGTACACTTCGTGTTACTACACAGATAGGACCTTGGTTTAAAATCTCATCAGAAAGATGAGACACCAACACTGCAGCACTGCCTCAGCACTATATTGGATTGAGAGATCTGGACTGGGACTTTATATCAAAATTGTAGGACCCAGAGGTGAGAGTGCTATCCACTGAGGTCCTGCTGATGGTTGTTTTCACACAGAGGACTCTACCATGTTTTTAAAAAATAAGTCACGATTGAGACAGAGACTAAAATATTATTTAAAAGCGATGAATAAACATTTGCAAAGAAAAAAAAAGGCATCTCGTAAGGATATAGGGATGTGTTGGGAAACTAGATTAAAATAAATGACTCTAGTTCAAATTGTATTATTTGCCCAGGTATGATGGAACATAGGATTATAAATCCCAGGATCTATTGCACATAACTTTTTGTTAGATTTTGAACATTTGCTTTCCAAGGGTACCAATAGCAAGAAATGTACACATCCTTTCACATATGCCAACTGAGAAGATCCTTTTTATTCTTAAAAGTTATGAGTTTCACCAGATGTACAGTTTGAGTCCTTGTTTATAATGCATGGAACGCAGGCATCACAGGCTGGACCAGCATTTACTGCTCCCATCTTTAATTGTCCTTTGATCTGAGTGCCCTGTTAGGGCCATTTCAGAGGGCAGTTAAGAGTCAACCACATTACTCTTTATCTGGAATTGGTATCAGTGTGGGAACCTAACATAATCTATTCACTATTGGACCACATACAGATAGAGCATAAGTATGGTATGGATTCTAAACCACAGTTAAAAGCACTGACATTTGGAAAACTTTTGCCCTCATGATTTTATATTGCATGTCTTCCATCCTTGGAATCCTATCATGGTTCCGATAATTGCTGATATTTTCTTAAATATGTGGATCAATTTGACACTGAGCTGCAACATTAAAGTTGTCTGAAATATCTCAAGAGAATTTTGTCCAAAATATTTTCTAACCATATCATCACCAAGCAGCAGAAGTTCAGATTTACTTGATTGATTTTATCAGTATAAACACATTGTAATGTCCTTTATTGATATACTGGATGTCCTATTGAATGGCTCGATAAGAACTTCTACTAGGGGGGTATCAAGCAGATTTAAATGCATTCAGATTTTGGGCCTTAATTAAAGTAACACTGTTATATTCTACGTGTTCAATTTCCCTAGACCATAAGTGCTCCATGGTGTTGATACACAGCACCATTAATTTCCTAAGTGAATGACACTTTGTTATTTTTCTGTCCAACATGTCTCAAGCACTTGAGCTACTTTGCTGTAATATTTAACTGTGACATTTGGAAACTGAAAGATGCAAGACATCCAACACTACTTACATAGCCGTCCAGAGCCAGATTGTCATTCTTAAACTTGTGCACAAACATTTCAACAGGACCACGGATTGTATAGAGTTCAAGAAGAAGGTGATGTTCTTCCTTTTTGTAGAAACCTGACAGATATAAGCATGTCCGCAATTATATGAGAGTCATTTAGTAACTCACTTTATTTTTATTAGGTTCATGTTGAGTAAACATGCAGTGGGATTCATCACACATGCTGGATTTTATACTTAAAAGATAAAGGAAAATGTCTTGGCCCACTGTGTAAAATGGGACTAGGATTTAAAACATTTGGGGTTCTTTGTGAAACAATGATGAAGTGGTTCAAGTTTAGAATACAGGGCCTTGAGATTGTGGAGTTGAAAAGCCAAGGTTGTTAAGTACTTCTACAAGTTTGAGATTGTGAAAAAAATTCAGCTGAAGTAGAAATAAGAATTATTGTACAGAAGATTCTGGACTTTCAGAATCAATGCATATTCTGTGATTCACTTCTCCCTGTTGGGAGTGATGCTGGTGGCAGCACATCTCAATTTGTCAGAACTCACAATTCTACTCAGCTTTATTGGACACTAAAAACCGTAAGTACAGTAAACTTACTGGTGCCTGCCACCCAAAACGGGCTTCCTCCACCTCTCAAATCCCCAACCCTACCCAGGACCTTCCCCACAATGTGCCTGCCGCCATTGGCCATGTGGCCACTGTCGGAGCACCCATGGATGACGTCATATCCGCCGCCGCGGGGTACACCACTTCCGGGACAGCAAACGCCATCGCTGCTGATGCCACCGCCTCCATTTCCGAGGCCAAAAACACAGATACTGAGGACGCACCTGCCGACACCGCTGCTGCCGCCGCCTACCCCCCTCCGCCCACCGCCGATGCAACTCTGCCCACCACCAACGCCAACGTCGCTCCGCCCATCGCCTCCACAGCCAGCAGCTCCAGAGGAGACAGTAGCACTCAGCCCTGCCGGGTCTTCACCATCCCCCCAGACCTCCCCCTTACTGAGGACGAACAGTCAGTCCTCAGTAAAGGGCTCACCTTTGTCCCCCTCCACCCAAACATCGATGAATACCGCTCATGCTTGGATGTTGAACAGATTTTCCCCTGCCTCATCCTCCGTGCTTATTTTTTTAATCGTGAGCTTAACACTCCCTCTACTGACCCCTTCTCCCACCTCCAACACACTCCCTCCTCTTGGACTCTACCCCAAAGCCTCCTAACCCTCCCTCGACCTCTTCATCTCCAATTGCCTTCGTGACATCAATCGCCTCAACCTCTCCACCCCTCTCAGTAAACCTCTCCCCCACAGAACGTGCAGCCCTCCGCTCCCTCCACTCCAATCCCAACATCACCATAAAACCCGTGGACAAGGGAGGCGCAGTTGTAGTGACTTCTATATCACCGAGGCCAGGCGCCAACTCTCCGACACCACCTCCTACCGCCCCCTTGATCATGATCCCACCCCCAACAACCAAACCACCATCTCCCAAACCATCGACAACCGCATCACCTCAGGTGACCTCCTACCCACAGCCACCAACCTCATCGTTCCCCAACCCCGCACCGCCCGCTTCTATCTCCTTCCCAAAATCCACAAACCTGACTGCCCTGGTCAACCCATTGTCTCTGCCTGCTCCTGCCCCACTGAACTTATCGCCACTTATCTTGACTCCATTTTCTCCCCCTTGGTCCAGGAACTCCCTACCTATGTCCATGACACCACCAATGCCCTCCACCTCCTCCAAAACTTCCAATTCCCCAGTCCCCAACACCTCATCTTTACCGTAGGGACGTCCAGTCCCTATACACATGCATTCCCCATGTAGATGGCCTAAAGGCCCTCTGCTTCTTCCTGTCCCGCAGGCCCGACCAGTCCCCCTCCACTGACACCCTCATCCGCTTAGCCGTCCTCACCCTCAACAACTTCTCTTTCAATTCCTCCCACTTCCTACAGACAAAAGGGTTGGTCATGGGTACCCGCATGGCCCCAAGCTATGCCTGCCTCTTTGTAGGTTACGTGGAACAATCCCTCTTCCGTAGCTACACTGGCCCTAAACCCCACCTCTTCCTCCGTTACATTGATGACGGTATCGGCGCCGCCTCGTGCTCCCACAAGGAGCTCGAAGCGTTCATCCACTTCACCAACACCTTCCACCCCAACCTTAAGTTCACCTGGGCCATCTCTGATACCTTTCTCTCCTTCCTGGACCTCTGTTTCCATCTCCGGCAACCACCTGGAAACCGATATCCATTTCAAGCCCACCGACTCCCACAGCTACCTAGAATACACCTCCTCCCACCCACCTTCCTGCAAAAATGCCATCCCCTATTCCCAATTGCTTCGTCTCCGCTGCATCTGCTCCCAGGATGAGGCATTCCACTCCCAAACATCTCAGATGTCCTCGTTTTTCAAGGACTGCAACTTCCCCCCGTCAGTGGTCGAGAACGCCCTCGACCGTGTCTCCCGCATTTCCCACAACTCAGCCCTCACACTCCCTCCCCGCAAAAACAACCAAAACAGAATCCCCCTCGTCCTCACGTACAACCCCACCAATGCATCATCCTCCGACACTTCTGCCATCTTCAATCCGACCCCACCACCAAAGACATTTTTCCCTCCCCACCCTTATCTGCTTTCTGGAGGGACCACTCTCTCCGGAACTCCCTTGTCCACTCCACACTCCCCTCCAGCCCCACCACACCCAGCACTTTTCCCTGCAACCGCAGGAAGTGCTACACCTGCCCCTATACATCCCCCTCACCCCCATCCCAGGCCCCAAGAAGACTTTCCACATCAAGTAGATGTTCACCTGCACATCTGCTAATGTGGTATACTGTATCCGCTGTTCCCGTTGTGGCCTCCTCTACATCGGGGAAACCAAGCGGAGGCTTGGGGACCGCTTTGCAGAACCGCTGTGCTCGGTTCGCACTAAACAACTGCACCTCCCAGTCGCGAACCATTTCAACTCCCCCTCCCATTCCTCAGACGACATGTCCATCCTGGGCCTCCTGCAGTGCCACAATGATGCTACCTGAAGGTTGCAGGAACAGCACCTCATATTCCGCTTGGGAATCCTGCAGCCCAATGGTATCAATGTGGACTTCACAAGCTTCAAAATCTCCCTTCCTCCTACCACATCCCAAAACCAACCCAGCTTGTCCCCGCCTCCCTAACCTGTCCTTCCTCCCACCTATCCCTTCCTCCCACCTCAAGCCCCACCCCCATCTCCTACCTACTAACTTTATCCCACCCCCTTGACCTGTCCATCCTCCCTGGACTGACCTATCTCCTCCCTAACTCCCCACCTACACTCACCTTTTCTGGCTCTATCCTCGCCTCTTTGACCTGTCTGTCTCCTCTCCACCTATGTCCTCCTCTATTCATCTTCTATCCACCTCCCCCTCTCTCCCTATTTATTTCAGAACCCCCTCCCCTCCCCCATTTCTGAAGAAGGGTCTAGGCCCGAAACGTCAGCCTTCCTACACTTCTGATGCTGCTTGGCCTGCTGTGTTCATCCAGCTCTACACCTTGGTATCTCAATTTGTCAGCCATTGGATTCCCAGTGATTAATTTCAATGAATGAAAACTTCATTTATAGGCTTGCTTTTCTGGTGGATAGTGAAGTGAAATGGTTCTTTATTGGTAACATAAAACATGGGCGTAGACAATTTTCTACACTACCTACTTTTCAGTTTATGTGCCTATTAGTATTTTTTAGGCATTGATTGAGTCAATGCGTATATTCAATCACATCCACATTGCAACTGCCAACAAAGAAATGCTAAAGTTGCAAACACATAGATTTGACACATTTACCCTGAGGATAGGTTGTGAAAAATAGTGAACAGCATTTTATTTTTCCCTCTATTTCCTTAACATTTTATTGTATTCATTTTTAATACATTGAATGGAAACATTTCTCCACTGAGATTGTAAACATTAACCCACTCACATGTTTCTACTAGCGCTAAATATGAGGGGATAGACATGGCAATCTCTGGTTTAACACCAATGTAGACCACCATTCCTTCTATGGATTACCAATTAGATATGGAGTCTATAAATATGAGTTCAACTTAGTGAAAACACATCATTCATTTTGAAATTAAGGGTCTTTTTCAACTTGTAACAGAAACTTTTAGATTTCATGAGAATGAAAGATCCACTTTTCCATGTTTGCATACAGGTAGTTATGATGAGCTACACTGGGAAGGATAGTGGGTTTTGGTTTGGAACCTTGATATCAATGTCATACGCTGGAAGGTGGGAGGGGTCACAACCTCATGCTGTGTGGGGACCAACCATCCGATAGTGATTATCCTCAAATTGGGTAATTAGTGGCCAAAGGGGTGCATCTCTGTCCAACTAAAGGAGAGTGATTGAATGCTCATTTCTGGAGACAAGAAGAAGCCTTTCAGCCATCCTTAATTTGGGCAGTCCATTTGATGCTCTCTAGCTCAGAAAAAGCTTCAGCTTACTATTATAGATGAAACAGAGAGTCAGACAGAGAGAGTGGGTGCCTTAGATGGAAGCATCAACTCTCAAATGTTTTAATCACTAAATTGAAAATTGACTCAGCCACAGTGGCCACTCCCCAGGATAGCTGCAGCTGAAATAAAAACAGGAATTGCTGGACAAACTCAACAGTCAGCATCTGTGGAGAGAAAACACAGAGTTAAAATTTTGAGTTCAGTGACCCTTCTTCATAGACCTGCTGAGTTGCTCCAGCAATTTCTGTTTGTGATCCAGACTTCCAGCATTTTATCTGTTTTATTTTAGCTATAGCTGAAGCCAGGCAAAGGGGGAGGGTCTCAATACAGTCTGTGTGCTTCCCTGGTGTGACACTTCCAGGCAGCTGGTCCATTCTCTGGCACCTCAAGGGCATTCAGGCTGACTGTAGAATTCCAGTGGGTCTCTGATAATGAGCCTTAGATGGTTTAACGATCTGTAATTTGGCTATCCATCACTTATGAATGGGAAGCCCTGCCATAAATGTCCTGTCTCCAGGAAATGACGGGGTGCAGAATGGCACTGGGAAACCTACCAGGGGCTAAAAAGCCTGCACATTATATGTTGCATTAAGAATGCTTTGTGATGTTTCCTGTGCTTATAAAGAATGGATACACAACTTTATTACAGAAACTAGTGGGTCTTGTAAACATCACTTACTGTAAAATATAAAAACTTGGCTGTACAACTCTCAGCAGTTGTATATTACTTACCTTTCAATCTAAGCTCCACTCCACTCTGATCTAGAAGAGTTGCCTTAACTTGACCAGTGGATAGATTAAAACTGTTAATTGTTAACATGACTGGCTGCCTCTTCCCAAGGTACTCGTAAGAACCTTTCCAGAGGGAATTCTGAGCAAAAACATTGGGTGGAACTGCAACAAGGACAAAAATAGGATTATAAACAGTCTTTCGCCAGGTGAACAAGGTCTCTGAAGGCTTTAATGTTCGAGTTTGTATTCCTGTAGTGAACTCACCTGAAAGTTTGGTACTTGGAATTTCCTTGGCTGTTCCAATTGGTCTCCCACTTGGCCTGGTGTCTGCTAAACAATTCCAAGAAGAAAAGTTATGCTTGTTAATAACAAAACAACCAAGGTAAAAGTGGAATAAGACAGTCGCCAATGAGTCTACCAATGAATAACACAGTGCAACGCTTATATCATAAACTTCAAGGCCCTTATTACTCCACAGAAAGAATTTTGACAGAGAGTTGCTGCAGGCTGCTGATGGCATCAAAAAGACAGTACTGGAGATTAAAGAGGAGGATATCACAAAGATGCAGTTGTTTAAGTCACATGTTAGATCAAAGACTTTACTATCTTCACAATCCAGAACAAATCACTTAGACCTTTATTAATGAAGGCAAATTAGTATCCACTGACACTTAACCATGGACAGCAATGTGCTCATCAGAAGTCACTGACAAGCTATACTAGACGGAAAAATAATAGTGTGCTTGTGAAAGAGTTGACAAAAATACAAAGATAAGATGCCAACACCAGGCGCACATTGTAAAGTCTTACCTACAGCAGAAGATAATAGTTTCCAAAAAAAACCTCCAGAAATAAAGTACATTCTATCACAAAGGCTTCATTAAAATGGGTTTATTGGCACTGATTTGCAATCGTTCACTTGTTCCATGCCGTTTGCAGCACTTTAAAATGTGATTGTGTCACAGGTTGTAGTCAAGCAGCTAAAGTTACTGACAGTCTGTAACCCGGAACCTACGTTAATAATGCTACATTTTATTAGGTCACAGGGAACAATGACTATTTCTAACTCAAAAATTATACTCATCGACGGGAGGTGAGATTTATTGTCCATCCCTAAATGCTCTTGAGTAGGTAGCAGTGACTGATCCCCTGAACCACTCTCATTCATGTGGTACAAGTACAATCACAGTGCTATTAGGAAGAGAATTCATGGATTTTCATGAAACCCTGGAGAAGTAACAGCAATTTACTGATAAGGCTGGATCATGAGCAGCTTGCACTAGATAGCTAGAATATTAGTGCCAGACGTTCCAACTGTTAACACTTCAGGTAAAACAAAAACTTTCCTGGCCTTGTGTGGGGGTCTGAGGAGACAGGGCGCTACAGCAGGACAGTTCCTTGACCCCGAGATAGTAGGAACTGCAGATGCTGGAAAATCTGAGATAACAAGGTGTAGAGCTGGATGAACACAGCAGGCCAAGCAGCATCATAGGGGCAGGAAGGCTGACGTTTCGGGCCTCGACCCTTCAAGGGTCTATGATGCTGCTTGGCCTGCTGTGTTCATCCAGCTCTACACCTTGTTATCTCATTTCCTTGACCCCATTGTGTCAAGCAGATGTTTCCCAATATGGGTCAGATATTAAGATCAACTGTCTACTCAACAGTGGGCAGCAACGAAATAATGAAGACCCCAGTTAGGAGCAACTCATTCTGTCATGTATACCATCTACCACCTGAATGGGGGTGCCCTCTCTTTAGCATAATGAGACCATCCAAACCTGAGGGTCCATCCAACAACGAGGACTCTGCACCATTTTCTGAAGAAAGGTCCCAACCCGAAACGTCAAATTTCCTGCTCCTCTGATGCTGCCTGGCCTGCTGTGTTCCTCCAGCTCCACACTGCGTTATCCCTGACTCCAGCATCTGCAGTTCTCACTATCTCAAAGAGGAGATGGCACAACAAAAGGCACATCTGTTGTCCAACGCTGCTACCAGGTGGATTGATCATGTGATGCTCGCTGGACCGCTCTGAAACTTTATTTCTATCTGAGCCATCCAATCCCCTTACATGTCACTGATAATAGAACCTCTATGTTGGTTTTTCTCCAACCTGCCTTTGCAGCTCTTATTCAGGCTGCTACCAATCAGAAGGACACCTATGGGAAAATAAGTCCCTTGGTTTGGCTCCCAGGAGGTACAGGTTCAGGATTTCCAATGGCGTTCTTGAAATTGAGACTTTGAAATACATAAGAAAATCCTGCCACTTCTGTCAATTGATGACATTGTCTGGAATATTTTACACATATGGAGAAAGTGGATGTCTGCACGTGTTCGTCAAGATCAGGACAGGAAACTTGGCTGTCAAAAACAGATATTTTAATAACATGACTTTCTTCAGTAAGAGGGCAGGCAAAACAATTGGGAAATTCATGGATGTTTAGAATCTATCAGATTACTGAGGAATTGCAATAAAACTTTATGTCAAATGGGAAGGTGTAAAATATTACTCAGCTTTCTGTATTCCCATCAGCAAACTGTGACTTTATTTTCTCCTGCCAAAGCCAGATTGCTGATGACAAAGTGTCAGTGTCCTCGGATCAGGGGTAACAGGGAAAAATATAAATAAAAATGACGTTCCAGAGTTGGTTCACATTTTTAAGCAAGGATTGATATGAGCTAGGACACTTACATAATATGCAAACATTAACTTGTCTCCTGTTGGTCCTCCTAATCGTAGTACGAGGCACTAAGGATTATGAATGGATGTCAATTCTTCAGTTATGTTAATCACAAATTTCCATATCAATCTTTGATGGAGTAAAGCAAAAATCTAAGGACATCAACTGTACAAGTCCTGCCCTTGGTGTATGCATGGAATGAGCTGTCAGAGGAAATGGTGGAGGTGAGTACAATTATAACATTTAAAAGGCACCTGGATGGCTATGTGAGTAGGAAGGGTTTAGAGGCTAAATGCTGGCAAATAGGACTAGGTCAAATGAGGATATCTGGTCCTTGCAGATGAGTTGGACAAAGAGTCTGTTTCCATGTTGTATGATTTTATTACTCTATGACATTACAGTCCAAATTTTGTGAAGACCCATGTCTATGAACAGCCTCGTTTAAACACTAATATTAAATTGGTTCCAATGATAAGTGTTCCATCTTTGAGTGAGGTTCTGTCAATTTAGTAGCCTTGGTGTTACATTTTATTCCACGTCGGTTGGTTTAGTTGAGTAGTCGTGCATTTTGTATTTTTCTAGCCTTATGACTGGGTATTCCTTTGCTGGTTATGCGTACACCAGACAATTGAGACAAAGCAGATATAATTTCAAGGGACTGGGAATACAAATGCATGTGTAACATGTTATGTGACATTCTTTTGCCATTTACCTTCACATAGCCGTGTTTCACGTCCTTACATTCAGAAAATTGATTACGATCTCCGCTTTACAAAATAAGCTTAGTGTTGTAAAGGTGAGAATTTCTTAGGTGGCAGTTTATTTTAATGATTGCACTTTTGCTTTTGAAGCAGATGATCGTGGGTTCAAGTCCCATTGCAGAGGCATTAAAACTGTGTGTCGCTTGGGTAGTACAGTACTAGAGGGGTACATTGTTAGACATAGCAAATAATGAGTGAAATGCAAAAAGACATCTCAAACGGAAAGAATACTACCTGTGGCACTACATTCAACCCTCAACCAACATTAAAAACCCATACATCTGGTCATTTATCTCAATGTCATACATGGATACTTGCTCTGCATAAATTAATTGATCAGTGTGCCTACATTATTACACTTTGGAATTACCACATTGACTGCAAAGGACTGCTTTTGAGACCATGAAATATATTATATGGATATGAGTTACTTCTTTACCACAGCATTAAGCTTTTATGTTTGATAGAATCCCTACAGTGTGGAAACAGGCCCTTTGGCCCAACAAGTCCACACCACACCTCAGAGCATCCCACCCAGATCCAGTCCTCATAATCTACCTAATCCACACACCCTGAACACTATGGGCAATTTAGCATGGCCATCCACCTAACCTGCACATCTTTGGACGGTGGGAGGAAACCAGAGCACCTGGAGGAAACCCACACAGACATGGGGAGAATGTGCAAACTCCACACAGACAGTCGTCTGAGGGTAGAATTGAACCCAGGTCCGTGGTGCTGTGAGGCAGCAGTGCTAACCACTGAGCCACCGTGCCTCCATGATGTGGAGGCCATTTTATCCAGATATATCTGCAGTTTGTCAACAAGTTCCAATATTTTCCTGTTGACAGGAAGCACAGATTACACAATGTCAAACTGATGCCCTGAGAATTGGAAATTGAAATTCCAAGCTTCATTCCTTGGAAACAAAAGATTTGAGGGTAGTTTTCTTTTAAATGAAGGGTTTAAGACAGCAATCTAGAGCAGCAAATCGAGCATCCATTGAGGAGAAGTGTCAATGTCCCTGTATTGGTCATGGCAGTTGAATATATGGAGTAGGCCGGAATATAACTTGGAGAGAAGGTGACAGGTCTTAGAAACATAGAAGTGCTTGAGAGTATGCTGTGGTGAAAAACTGAGGAGTAAGAGGCAATGGAATTGGGCAGCAAATGAAGCAGTAAACCTCAGTTTTGAGGAATAAATCTGTCCAGCAGAGTTTCTTCTTACTTTACAGAAGTAATACACAGAGGAAAATTGGACAGGCACTATAAAAGCACAGCACAGATTCTGCAAATCATTCACTGAACTTTCTTAAAATAAAAATCAAGTTTTCATGATATCCTTGATGACTTTTAGAATGAGTAGTTAATTGCATTTTGATAAACTGAATCCAAGCCAATGTGGAGATTTGAGGATCTTACACTTAAAATACAACGTCTTATTGCTCTATTCAGTTTTTTTCATGAATTATTAAGGCACAAAATTAGCTGCATTCCACATTTTTAAAGGAATTTCGAGCCAGAAGACATCTTTAGTTGAATGGCTTCCTTCACAGTAGCAATTCTGTGATAAGAATGTGCCAAAAAACTGAAGTGAAGAAATCAGATACAGTACCTCCTGCAGCACAAATAGTGCTTTTTCTAAAAAGTTTACAAAGTTTTGAAGCTCCAGAATAAAGTGATCTGGGTGAGTCATTGAAAGACAATGTAATCAGCAAGTTCAGAATAAGGCCAAACAGTTCAGTTACCTGTACACCCATCACATTTGTTTAACATATTGTTATGACCAAGGGGTCAGACCTCCAAACTACTGTGGACATTTGTAACTTGCAATTCCAATCTTTTAGGATTAATACAGCCAAAAATGGCTGCAGATGTAAATTAAGTGATTTCTGGTGACTTTAATAAAAGTGATTAGGGGCTGACAATCCCCTGCTCAACAGCAAACTGCCCCCTGTAGATTAGGTCCCAAACTGCAGGTAAACTTTATGTTTTTCCCTTCAAAGAACACAGAAGCATAGGAGTTAAAAAGACAGTTTCAACTCCACATCAGTCTACATTTGGCTGTGAATACTTTCATGTGTATCGCCCTCTGTTTGAACACTGGGGCGCTGTGAAGGTCACAATCAATGAACTATCCCTTTGCTACCCCTGAGTTGCCAGTAAAGATCTTCTCTCACTCTGAGTGCAGTAAACCACTTCAGGAGGCAACAGGACAAAAAAAAAAGACACCCTCTCACCCTGAATGCTGGAATTGACTGACAGTCAAAAGGAAACAAAACTGCTGAATCTTAACCAATCTAAAAACTGATGATTATGGAACTGATTGTCCAACTACAAACATCAAAGTTACCAGTAACATTCACTGCAACAGCTACGATGTACAACTACCTGCTTTTAAAATAGAACTTAGAGACTGATCTGTAAATCTGTGTTTTTCGAACTTTTCTCTGTTTGGATTCACCTATTATTTTTGATCTGTGCATATGTGTTCTGTGCTACTAATTCTTCTCATCTTTAATAATTAGTGAGATTGCACTTTTCATTAATGCAAGAAAATCTGGTCAAATTGGTTCCTTTTAAAATGAGTTACTTTTGTTGTTGGAGGAAGGAATCCACAGGGGGAAGGGGTCCTTTCTAAATTAACCTTGTTGCAATGAACCAATAGGGAACCAGCTCTTCCATCCTCAACAGACAGCTTAACAGTTTGAGGTATACATAAATGGTCAACCACCCTTTCCTCTGTGTTCAACCTGATACCTCAAAAAATAAATCCACCATTTCCCATTGGAAATCCAAACATTTGTAGTTTAGATTTTGGCGTTCTTATTGGTCACATCTATGTATGTTTATTAGTTATAGCCAATTTGTGCCAGATTATTGGCTTATTTATGCTACATATAAAGGGAGATTTTTTTGTTCATACTATTCAATAAAAAATTAAAAATCTCTTTTCCTTTCAATATATTTGTATCGGTAACAAGCAAAGATCATACTACTCAGAGAAACTGATTTTGTGGAATTAATTGTCTGTTGAAGGGGCCAACAATGGTCATAGCTGTGCAAAATGTATTCAGGAGTCAATACAGCTGGAGTAAACTGGAACAAGATACTCCCTATCCCTGCAAGAGGGTAAGGTCCTGAATTTGGATTTAGGCTACAGTTACAATATTCTGATGGCATCAAGAAGCAAACTATTCTGGGTTAACACCTGTTTCAGTGTAAATGCACCTGAGGGTTAGAGGGAACAAAATTAACATGCAAAACTGTAGCAGAATGCATTGCTAAACCTGAGTAATTAACATTTCACCAACCTCTGAATATCATATCAATATTTCAGACAAAATGCTTTCCCTACAGAAATTAATGTTCATGTAAAGGAAATATTTTAAAATGGAAATAAATCCAAATGTATGGCAATCATAACTCTTCATTCAATCAAATGAAATAGCCAAGAGTGAGGTTACTTCTTTGAAGCACTATACTCCATCTATGCAAACTATAGATAGAGCAAACAGGTTTTGTAAAAACTTTACCATAACAGAGAGGCTGTTTTCCTGTCCAGCTTCCATCAGGCCTGCAGGTTCGATGCTCTGACCCTCCAGTAAGGTAGAAGCCAGGCTGACACGTGTATATCAAAGTGTATCCCAGTGAAGGCAGCTCGATTGATTCCACATTCACATGAGGAGGAGTCTCAGGCTGTCTGCAGTGGTGTGCTGAAAAACAAACATAGGTAAATTCTTAAAGCCTCATGATAGAAAATAATAGCACATGAATTAGACATTATTAAGTTCTGTTTCAGTTAATAAATTAAATAAGACTTGAGAATTTTAAAACACATATTCCAATCTTGTTTAAGCTGCCCCTACCTGCAAGCAGAGGAGAAAAGTCAGTGCCTCCTGTAACTGTCTATGGGTACAAGGTTACACCAGTAATAATACACCTTACACATTTTACTTGTTGATCACTGATGGCTCTCAGCATTTCTGAAAACACAGGACTACAAAATTTGACTTCTGTTAAGAAGAAATTGCGTGTTATTTACAATTATTTTTGTTATGTGTTTTAGTTGGTGTGCTATGTTGGGACAGTGTTCCGTTAAGAGGTAAATTATGTGAGTCACATAGTGAGTCATCAGCCAGGTTCAGGGGCATGTTCAAACTTATATGAGCTTTCAAAAAGTGCACAGTTACAAAATAAACCTCCCTGTTTGGTTGCAGCCAAAGATGAGTTTTTAGTTCTTCCGTTCTGACTGGTGCCTAGGAAATGCCTAGTACAGAATAAATTTCATCTGACCATTACACAGATAAACATGAACTGTGGTCTCCTGAAAATAACCTGTACCTATATTTCTATGTTCAGAACTTTGAAAGAGTTCAGTCAAACCTCAATACAGGCTAACTTCACCTCAGTTTGAATCATGAAACTGGAAGTAGGGGAGATAATTCATCAATTCCACTTCAGTTATGGGCATAGATTTTATTTTGTCCTGTTCAATCAATAGCATCGCAATCAGTTGAACAAAAAATATGGTGCCTGGCAAAAATATAAATTATTTTGTTCCATTTCCATCTTCCTGCAGCCCGGTCCTTCTGAAACTCTCTGATCTGAGCCATGCTCAACATAATTAACCTTAGCTTCAGATTGACTGGTCACCCATCTGACATTGCCAGAGCGAAATAGGCATGAGATCACACCTGTGTTAGTTTCATTAGATTGCCTCCCTTGCTCAAGAAAAATGCTCCAATTTGCAGCTGAGAAAAAAATTTCTCAGCCAAAAACATAAAAGAGCATCAGCCCAAACTCTCACTTAATCATTTGTTGGTGTGCCGGGCAGAGGCAGTGACGAAGATGTGCCGCACACAGGCGGTGACGAAGATGTGCTGGGCACAGGCTGTGACGAAGGTGTGCCGGGCCCAGGCGGTGACGAAGATGTGCTGGGCACAGGCTGTGACGAAGGTGTGCTGGGCACAGGCAGTGAGCAAGATGTGCCGAGCACAGGTGGTGACAAAGATGTATCGACCCAGCAGTGACAAAGATGTGCTGGGCAAAGGCGGTGACGAAGAAGTGCCAGGCACAGGTGGTGACAAAGATGTATCGACCCAGCAGTGACAAAGATGTGCCGGGCAAAGGCGGTGAGGAAGATGTGCCGAGCACAGGTGGTGACAAAGATGTATCGACCCAGCAGTGACAAAGATGT